ATCCCCAAAAAATCCCCCCAAAATCCAAAAAAATCCCAAAAATCCCCAAAAAATCCCCAAAATCCAAAAAAAAAATCCCCAAGAAATCCCCAAAATCCAGAAAAAATCCCCAAAACCCAAAAAAAAAAAACTAGAAAAAAATCCCCCAAATCCCAAAAAAAAATCCCCAAAAAAATCCCCAAAACGCAAAAAAATCCCCCAAATCCCCAAAAAATCTCCAAGAAATCCCAAAAATCAAAAAAAAAAACCCAAAAATCACCCCAAAAATCCCCCCCAAATCCCCAAAATTTAAAAAAGAATCTCCAAAAAATCCCCAAAATCCCCCCAAAAAATCCCCAAAACCCAAAAAAATCCCAAAAATCCCCCCAAAATCCCCAAGAAATCCCAAAAATCCAAAAAAAAATCCCCCAAACCCAAAAAATCCCCAAAAAAAACCCCCAAAAATCCCCAAAATCCCCCCAAAAAATCCCCAAAATAAAAAAAAAAATATCTCCAAAAAATCCCCAAAATCCAAAAAAATCCCCAAAACCCAAAAAAATCCCCAAAATCCCAAAAAAATCCCCAAAACCCAAAATATCCCCAAAAAAATCCCCAAAATTAAAAAAAAAATCTCCAAAACCCAAAAAAATCCCCAAAATCCCCAAAAAAAAAACCCAGAAAAAAATCCCCCAATCCCAAAAAATCCCCAAAATCAAAAAAAAATCCCCAAAATCCCCCCAAAAAATCCCCAAAATAAAAAAAAAAATATCTCCAAAAAATCCCCAAAATCCAAAAAAATCCCCAAAACCCAAAAAAATCCCCAAAATCCCAAAAAAATCCCCAAAACCCAAAAAAATCCCCAAAATCCCAAAAAAATCCCCAAAACCCAAAATATCCCCAAAAAAATCCCCAAAATTAAAAAAAAAAATCTCCAAAACCCAAAAAAATCCCCAAAATAAAAAAAAAACCCAGAAAAAAATCCCCGAATCCCAAAAAATCCCCAAAATCAAAAAAAAATCCCCAAAATCCCCCCCAAAAACCCCAAAATACCAAAAAAAATCCCCAAAATAAAAAAAAAACCCAGAAAAAAATCCCCCAAATCCCAAAAAAATCCTCCAAAAATCCCCCAAAAAATCCCCCCAAAAAATCTCTTAAAAGAATTCCCAAAAAAATCCCCAAAACCCCCCAAAAATCCCCAAAATCAAAAAAATATCCCCAAAATAAAAAAAAAACAGAAAAAAAATCCCCAAATCCCCAAAAAAATCCCCAAAACATCCCCAAAATCCCCCCAAAACATCCCCAAATCCCCAAAAAATCCCTAAAATAAAAAAAAAACCCAGAAAAAAAATCCCAAAAATCCCCAAAAAACCCCAAAATACCAAAAAAAATCCCCAAAATTAAAAAAAAAACCAGCAAAAAATCCCCAAAAACCAAAAAAATCCCCAAAATCCCCAAATCCCAAAAAAAATCCCCAAAATAAAAAAAAAACCAGAAAAAAATCCCCAAAAAAATCCCCAAAAATCTCCAAAATTAAAGAAAAACCCCAGCAAAAAATCCCCAATTTGATTTGGGTGTTTTGGGGTGTTTTGGGATGGATTTGGGTCATTTTGGGGTGTTTTGGGGTGTTTTGGGATGGATTTGGGTCATTTTGGGGTGTTTTGGGGGTGTTTTGGGGGGATTTGGGGAGGATTTGGGGAAGATTTGGGGGTTTTGGGGTGTTTTGGGATGGATTTGAGTCATTTTGGGGTGTTTTGGGGAGAATTTTGGGTGTTTTGGGGTGTTTTGGGATGGATTTGGGTCATTTTGGGGTGTTTTGGGGGTGTTTTGGGGGGATTTGGGGAGGATTTGGGTGTTTTGGGGGT